TTGTACAAATACAGTACAGGAACAGTTTCTTTTTTTTTTGATATAACAAAAAGATTGAAATCTCGGAAAAACCCGGTCTACCCGGGTTTTGACTATACTATGACCCGAAACCCGGGTTTTCAAAATTGGTCCGGGTTTCGATGCCCTATTTGTGAGTGCAGCTAAACTTTACGTAATTTTTTTTAGCTTGAACTTTTCAATTTAATATTTATTTTGAAGTTGATATTTTATTTTGCTTTTTGTTTTGTTGATTTTGTGACTTGTATATCAAAATATTATGTTTTAGAATTAAGTAACTACTATTCAATATGTTGGACAGTCATAGTTGCTGTATGCTGCATTCTTTCTTCTTACTCATTAATCTGTAATAGGAATTTGTTAATGGCATTTGGGTACTTATCTTTTTTCTTTTACTATAATTCTAATTAGTTTGTGAGTTTTCCTAAAATTTCATAAAATAATCAGTGATAAAAAATGAGCGTTCCACTCATCTCAAGGCTTGGTGGTATTCCAGCTACTATATTATTTTTAAATTTCAGAATTAGTGAGTAGCGAGACGAGTTCTGAATGGTTCCTTTATAAAGTGCGGCGTGCACACGAAGCCCTGAGCGTGTCCGCTCGGGATAGCAACGTAAATACACTTAGCGCATCATTTGGCACAAAATGGCCGTACAAACGCACTATTTCCGCTCCGGCGACAATGCCGCCCCATCCTGATACGAGACATGGTAAAATTCAACAAAATAAAGGTTTATCTGTGTGTATATTCTTGTTGCTGAAATGTGCTACATACTACGCTATAACTGTGCCTCTTGCGCATGGAAAAAATTCGGCACTTTTTAACTTCTTACCGTACAGTTTTCTTGTGGCTTTCCATAGCTGTGTACATGCTTCTAAGCTTGCCTTTTTGATATTCTTAGTAAATGTATTACTAAGTATTTGATGATAGTTATATCTTTAGAAAGAGAAAAGGTGTATTCGCGACAATATTCCGCGCCTCTTTTGAAGCGGAAAACGTCCAAGTTCGGACTGGGACAATTGTTGGCTGCCCCGCAACCACTTAATACTGCGCAAAGGTCTAACAACACACACGGTATGTATTATTTTTATTTAACACATGTTCTACTTACATACTTGGTTGATATGGTGCAGCGGACTGGTGTCCGCAACTCGACGTCCAGGCTTCTATTCTTACACACTTATTTTAATCCTAGACTAAATTTATTCAAACATGATGAACAAAAGATTTCACCGTCCTGCTTTATGATTAAAGTGACTAAAAACTTAAATCTGAAATGATATACTTAATAAACATACAAAGACATCCCCCATTTTCTCGTATATAATTCTGGCTGTGTACCACTTATTTGTAGAAGGATTTCATCCGTTATCCGGTCGATCGACGGAAGATTCCTCTTTTGTTGTACCAAAAGCAGTTGATCTCGAAGAAGCTGACAGAGAAACAACAAATTTGTTGGTGTTCTTACTTATGCAGTTCCTCTCCAGGTAAGTTTATTTGTAGGTACAGTCAGGAGCACGTTAGGTTTGACACTTTGGCTTTGGATTGCAAACAGCATAGAGTTGTATTAAAAAAAAATACTGTCAAGCTTGACCTACTGCGTAGTTCTAAAGGTTGTACCAAGATTCCTTGCCAAATGCCTTGTCCGCAAGTACCTTTTATCTTTTATACATATTTCATGTTTTTTTTAGATCTGACCAAGCACACCCTATAGAAGAGAAACAGCCAGCTAGAGTCCAGGAATTGGTTTTGAAACATCTTTTCTTATTACTGGGATATAATGTAACGGAAAAATTCTTTACAATATCACAACAATCTATGCGGTGAATATTCGTAACTTTTCCTTAAGGCGGGTCCAATGTAACAGCATAGTCATTTTTAATATTTTTATTTTTCAGGCAATCGTCGATATTCAATGCTTTTATGGCAAACCTGCCTCAAGTTTTAGACCAAAATTATATTATGGGAGCTCATATTTCTGATCCCACTTTACTGGTTTTGCAGGTAAGAGAATTGTTTATTGGTAAATTTTTTTGGTACCTTTGTGTGATGTGATGTTGTTTAAAATTTGTATTTATTTATTTATATAGCCTACTTGTTAAAAAATATTGCGTTGAAATTGTATAACGTATATTTTCAGTATTGCAGTGGACCTTCTCCAGGCGGTTCTGTGAATCCAGCTACGCATTCATTGGCACTGCTCGAACCGCACGTTCGAAGGCATTGGCTAATGGCACTTTTAGTAATTCTGTATAAGGTAAACAATTTTATATTTGCCATTATATAATATACTCATTGTCTTCTTTATTTTTGTATATTCTTCATGAACCTTATTAGAATGTAAATAAATGGACCTTTTTTTTATAAAAATTGACCTCAAATTGTGTTCGTTACCGCGATCTCCTCAAGTATAACTGAAACGCATATGGAAGTTCTCGTCAAAACGAATCATATGAGCACAAACACAAGGTAGCTGCTGTAAGCTGCTGAAGAGTTCCTCTAATCTGTCTGCCATTTCCATTATCAGATCAGCTCTAGGTCACCATAACATTTTATTTTCAATGCAATACCATGTATCTGCCAAGTTTCATTGAAATCGATTGACGGAAAATGGACGAAATTCTATAAACCCGATTCATCCGTTAGTTTGCCACCCTTAAAGGTGGGATATTTATCTCAAATTCGAATATGACCACTAACAGAAAAAGAATAATCGAAATCGGCTCACAAATGTCGGAGTAATCGCATACGCACACAAAATACAGACGAATTGAGAACCTTTTCCTTTTTGAAGTCGATTAAAAAAGAGAGTCAGTCAATAAATACCTATCTGGAGCCTTAGTGTAAGTTTTCAAATATGTAAACTTAACTCTCGCGTGTGTAATAAGATTTTAATTTAAACCTTATAAACATACAATTAAGATCTAAATAAAAATCTTAACGCAAACGCGGTAGTTAACTTTGAATGATTACAAAGTTACACTCAGGCCTCTGGGCACCTTTCTTCTTATCGTTTCGATGGCGTAGACTTGCAGCCCAGGACTATGAGACATGTTTGCCATCGTGGAGAAAGGATTTGCCAATCGGCGTAAGGTTCTCGCCGATTGTTCCCCAGGGTGCGCCTGACGTACAGACAATGCGGATAGCACGTCTTACGGAGAAGCTCCTTTCGTGTACCCCAATCTGTGCACTAAAGAACTTTAATCTAAAAAAATTACCTTCTTGGCAAAACCAAAAGTGATGTCATCCGTCTGTCATTACCTATAAACTCCTACAAAACTGGTTCAAAAAGCGACTAAAAGATAAAAAAAAAAATAGATATGTATAGTTATGTTTGTTTGGACTTAATGTCATTGCATTTCTGGTTCGATTTTCAATTGCTAATTAAAGTCAATCATGAATCAATCATTGTCTATTTTCAGTATCATTACAGTAACGGAATGATGTGCCTACAAGTACAATCGCTAGTACGCATAGTACTCAACACTGTAGAGGCACAGTACCATCAATGTAAGCGAATACCTCCTATGATTGTTATGCCTCAAGCACGCGCTAGAGGTACGTACTTTTTTAAATGTTAGCTAAATTCTTTTTTAATTAATTTACTAAATTTCGCAATAGCAAAATAAATGTCACTAGAAACATGCGTACACTTGTTTTGTATTTTGTACTTGCTATTTATAAATATACCTAATATTAATTATATAAATAACAAAACATACTAACTCTTGTTTTGTAAATACTTATATTGAGGTATGAACTTTATTACATTATTTACGCTTATTTATGTCCCTGTTATTGATAGTAGTTTGCATTGTATTGATATTATATTATTGTATCTTTATAGTATTGACCATATTATCACAAACAAAATACATTTAATTTGCTTTTTTGCTATTGATCTTTTTGTTTCAACAACACTTTTTAGTAGCAGTAGAGGTCCTTGTGAAAGAGTTCGTCCAGGGAAGTACTGCCATCTTACCTATTTCTGCCGCCATGCAGAAATGTCAGCATTACTGTGTTCCGGTTTTGAAGGGTTAAGGGTGCTGGTGAAATTACCGGCATATGGGACTTGTCAACTTATGTCTCAGTGTGACGGGCGCAGTGGCAGTGTCCCTGAGATCTTTGCAATTTAAAGCTTTGAGTGGCACTGCAACTGTTATGGACAGGCGTGTATTACAGGCGTGTGTATTATTGTACAGGCGCACGACTTGTTCGTCCCGTCATTTGATATTATAGAAAAAAAAAAACAAAAAAGGCTAATTAATATATTTTAATTAATAGATTCAGGCGTTACTTTGCGGAAGTCCATGTTAATAAATATGAAAGTAAATTAATTTGCTACGCCGCAAACCCAGTGAAGGTTAAATTGTTCAAAACAGCAGCGCTTGTGTTGAATATTTTTTCATGCAGTTAATTATCTCACCGTTCCTCCGCATAAAATTAATAACATAAGCGCAACTATAGTCACAAACCACCGAAAATATACCCGACACGTGTTTCGCCTCGCCACGAGGCATCCTCAGGAATCGTCGTTCAGAATGGTTGGTGCATTAAACCCTGCTACCCCCAATGTTGCTATTGTTGAAACCCGAAATCCCCGTAATATAGGTGATGATGCAAAATTCAATTTTTCATAAATGTTCAACAACAGGGGTTGTATAATTAATGAATAATTGAATTTTGCATCATCACCTTTATTACGGGTATTTTCGGGTTTCAACAATAGCAACACTGTTGTGTTGCACCGAGATAACCGTTAGTGTTGCATTGCTTAATGCACTTTTCTCGTTGATTTAACCGGATTAAGGGTGTAAAATGACACGCTACTTATAGTCTTTTAGGGTTCGAATTCTCTCTATTGACATTGCGCTTCTTCGATTCATGAAATTAAGAATTAGAAGACGTTCACAGGTATAAACACCTCGTAGATATCTAATAGCAATTTTTTCAACTTTTTTAGATTTAAGCCAGCCCTCATTAAAGGCTGATCATGACCCACCGCCAACTACTTCTGCGGAGCGACCAGCGACTAGTCCACTTCCTGCGCTCGGTAAACCGAAACTGCAACATAAGTCGCCTGCGCATATGCCCACACACTGGGAGCAACCGACTAAGAGTACTAAGTACGTAATTTTGCTTAAGCATGTCCGTGTGGGTTTGATCTGCGGGGCTATAGATGACAACCCTGAAGTTTGGTCTAGTGCGTTGGGAAGGTAGAGTCAGACTATAAAAGGGTATAATAACAAATGTTCCTATTACACTCTACTACCAAGATGGTTCTGGTTACAATCCAAATTTCATTTACAAAGTTGCGTCCATTTCAAGTCTAATTTTATTTAATGAGAGACAAAGTTTATTATATAGGAAATGAAACTATTTTTCCGGATTTAAATCGTGTATATTTGTTTTTTCAAACAAACAGACGTTTCGGGCTCTTTACAGGTCCCATGGTCACCGTTGACCTGTGAAGGGCCCAAAACGTCGGTTTATTTGAAAAAACAAATATACGCGATTTAAATCCGGAAAAATAGTTAGTTAGTGTAACAATCGCGAAAACCTAATAACTGGAAAAGTTTATTATATTTTAATAAAAATTCAATCCATGTTGTAGGTATCAGCAATGGAGTTTAGAACAAGAATCTTCAGAAAGCGAACTTATAGCGATACCAGAAACAAGCGATAAATCAGATACTACTGTTCACGGCAGTACCGCACCTGTAAGTTGATTGATTGTTAAAATTCAGTAAATTTACTTGCCGTATGCGTCACAACATATTAGGGGTTAAAGTATGAAATTGCCGTTTTATTGCAATAGGTTCTTTGAATTTTCATAGAATCTTCATGGTTTGAGGTTTTCGAATGAAACTTTTTTCAAATGGTTTCTGTGATTTTTTTTTTTAAATTTGAAACATTTGAATATCGACTTTCAATTGTTTTTGTTATTCAATTTAGACAAGAAAGATGGATACTGCGAAAATTCGAGTGATTTTTGAATACGAGTTCCGACGCGGAACTAACGCGGCAGAAACAGCCCGCAATATCAATGCTGCGTTTGGAGAGGGGTCTACTAATGAACGCACCGTGCGATTTTGGTTTAAACGCTTTCGTGATGGAAATTTCGACTTAAAGAACGAGCCACGAGGAAGACCGCCCACACAGGTGAATAACGATGAATTAAGAGAGATAGTGGAAGCCGATCCTAGTCAAACTACCCAGGAATTAGCGGCATGGTTTAACGTTACCTTACCCACAATATTGACTCACTTGCGTCAAATCAATAAAATAAAAAAATACGAAAAATGGGTGCCTCATGATTTGACTGATCTGCAGAAAGAAACGCGTGTTGAAACTTGTGTTGCCTTGTTGAACCGGTACAGAAATGAAGGAATATTGGATCGAATTGTAACATGTGATGAAAAGTGGATTCTTTATGATAACCGGAAAAGAAAAATGCAATGGCTGACCCCAGGTCAAATGCCACAACAGTGTCCTAAAGCAAAACTTACCAATAAAAAGGTAATGGTAACTGTTCGGTGGTCTCAGCATGGTGTTATTCACTATAGTTTTCTCCGATCTGGTCAAGCAATAACGGCAGATGTCTATTGTGCCGAACTCCGAACCATGTTGACAAAACTAGCAGTAAAACAGCCCCGACTCATGAATCGATCTTCACCATTATTGCTCCACGACAACGCGAGACCTCACACAGCACCAGAAACCATTTTGACCCTTCAGGAACTGCAGTTAGAAACCATTCGTCATCCTCCGTATTCACCAGACCTTGCTCCAACGGACTACCATTTTTTTCGTGATTTGGACAATTATCTACGTGACAAGAAGTGTTCTTCCCAGGAGGCAGTACAAAATGCTTTCACACAGTTTGTGCAGTCTAGATCGTCGGAGTTCTATCGCAAAGGCATTAATAACCTTCCCATTAGATGGCAGCAATGTATAGATAATAATGGCAACTATTTTGATTAAATAAATTTGTTAAAAATTTAAAAAATAAACAATTTAGATTTTCAGTACAAATCGGCAATTTCATACTTTAACCCCTATTATTATTTCTATTTAGTTAATTTTATGGATAGAAATAAATATGTTAGTTGTTTGTAGTTGTTATTTTTTTATTTGCAATGAATATAGCGTTACCTCTGGTAGCTGTCAAGGTATTGAAGGCTGAGTGAAGAAACTATCGTAAGTTTTTCATAGGGGGCGCTGATGGTAAAGAATTGTTTTAATACCGGACCTAACACAGAGCCCTGCGGAACACCACTGATATTCTGCTATGCCCTTTTTTCACCTGGAATCATTTTGTTGAATGGACTTCAATAATAAGTGAGAACCATATGAAAATACCCCACCCAAAATATCTTTATTTTGGGTAGAGGGTTTGTGTACAAGCCTTATACAAAGATCTGCTACAAGCACATTCGTAAGATTTGTTAACTCGATCTGTAACTTAGTTAGTAAGAGCGGTGGCCCTGGTGTGGCAACAGACGCTGGCTTGAGTAGTCAGAGCGAAGGAATTTTTCTTTATGTTGCTCAATCTTAGTATCAATAATAATAATTCATTATGGTATTATATACGAGATGTCATAATGAATGAAATAAATAAATAATAACGCACACACTCAACATAGCCCCGCACTAGGGAAACCCTGTGTCGCGGGTGCCATGGACACACACATAGACAACCACAAATTACACCCAAACTCACGAGAGAAATAATTGTAGGTCATACAACTATTTCTCTCGGCCCGGGAATCGAACCTGGGACCCCTGCGTGGCAGTCCGGCATGGTAACCGTTCGGCCACGGAGGCAGTTAGTTATATTCATTGTGATATTGAATAAAGAAGAAATATGTTTAATTTTTTTTATGTGATTATATCATTGAAAAGTTGTATTTCTTATTGTGTTTCAGGGATCATTCGATGAACCGTCTCACTACGAAGACCCGCCTAAAGTGGATACACCAGCCACTACTTCACATCCGCCACTTAGCAAAATTGTAGGTGTTATTCATATTGTTTACAAGATTTCTGAATATTCGATTGCACATGAATTTTGATAAGAATATTGTTTCGACATTTCAGGCAGCCGTAGGCTCGCGGTCTGCCTATCAACTCTCTACCAGTTCTTCTGTATCTATAGCAAGCGATTCATCCAACTTGTGAGTATTATAATCAATACACAATTTTAACGAGATAACGAATGCAATTACTTATTGTCGAGATACGATACTTATTAATGCACATTAGAATCATGGATTTTACAACAACTTTTATAACGAATCTTTTAACACGATATATTACAAGTTTGAAATTGAAATAGATATTACAAAAAACCTATTGGAATTAACTTTACATACAAATTAGTGAAAATTACTTGTTGCGCTATTATAGTCAAACATTTGCAGAAATTAACACCTTAGCTCATTGTGCGTAGAATAAGTATAAAAGCTATAATTAAAAAAAAAAGTGTGACATGCACTGATTCTTAGGCTTTGCTGGTTTGACGATCGAATAAAAAAAACTGTAAAACACATCGATACTATCACTCATTTCCTTATAATTTAGTCTATTTCGACGACATCCACGCTATATAATAATCTCAGTACAGTGTACTAAAAAAAACCGACCTCAAAAGTACGTGGAATTACGTCTATTTGCTAAGTTTCATTGAAATATCCCCTAGTTCGCCACTATACAGGACTTGATACTGGATATAATAAAAATAGGTTCTCACTACGACACTACTCAAAGTATATCGAGAGAAAAACGCATTGAATTGGAGAAATAGCAAAATAGCAAATAATTGCTAAAAGTAATTGCTCCTAAATTGAAGTTAGGCGCTATTTATAAAAATGAATCTTCATGCGTGAACAGCCACCCTTTGAGGTGGATGATTTTCTTCAAAATGAAATGGGACCACTATGGAAGTACCCCCTTTCCAACAAAAAAAGAATCATGAAAATCGGTTCACAAATACCGGAGTTATCGCGTAACATACATACAAAAAAAAACAAAAAAAAGAACATACAGTCGAATTGAGAATCTCCTCCTTTTTTGAAGTCGGTTAAAAAAGTAAGTGCTATCGGGATTACAGAACAAAGCTACATACGGTCTTTAAAAAGTATTGTTCTTCTATTCAGTGTCATTGTTAACTTAGTTATGATTATACCAATGTATCGTCCTATATATATAGCTGCTGCCATAGTGCGGCTTTCGTGATTATCGATATTTTTCGTGAACAGAAATTGAACTCTTTTTTTGTAACTTATAAAAACAAAATAATGAAATTTTGGAACGGGATTAGGAAGGTGGAGAAAGAATTGGAAAAGAGATCAGGCGAGGAAGCATTTAACTTTTTTTGACATCTTTAATAATTTTAGACATGATATGATGAGGTATGAAAACGACGGAGTTCGTAACGCCAACATCTAACTATAGTACTTACAGCCACACTTTTATCAACTGTAAATTGCCTCACAATATTAAATATCATAAACCACAATATTCAACAAAAAATTCTGAGGTGTCGTGTTATCTTGATTCTGTGGCCCACTGTATTAGTAATAACTGTAATGAAAACTTTTCAGGAAATCGACGCCTATGAGCGGACAATCAGTGGAAATCTGGCCCGATAATTGGCATGGACAACAAACTTCGCCACGAGTTAAAATCATGGGTAAACAAAAGAGAATAATTGGTAAGTCAAATTAGTACAGCTTTTCTAAAACATATAAACATCTAACTGAGATATGTGTGCCTAGGTCGACTCACGTTTTTCTCTTTTGCTCAATAAATCTGACTTATTGTCTGTTTTATACTTTTAAGCATTGCAAATTGCTTTTTTATGAAAGGTGTAAGAAAAATGTTAATTAACACTTACACCTACATAATTATTATTATGGAAACTATCTTACTCAATTTATTTATGAATTTATTTGAAGTTTAAATCAAAATAATTAGATTAAATAGGATGTATTTTTATGTGGATTTTATTTTGATCAGCTTGGTTGAAGTCATTAGTTAAGTTAATTAAGATATTAGTTAAGTTTAGTAAAGTTTGCTCGTAAGGCGGACCACCTTGACCTTGGCTCAAGCTAATCAAAGTGAAGTATAGTAACTAGAACTTGATATGCTGTTACTTCACTGGTAGTACAGTACAAGAAGTGACTTTTGTTGATCATAAAGTAAATTTATAAATAATGCGGTAATTTATATTCCTAATAATAAATATACAATTAAATGAACGCCCTGGATTTTGGATACATGAATTTGTTAAACCTGAAATCGAACCCAGGACCTTCTTAGTGTCCTGTAGTATCCTAATTGCCTAATCGCTAATATAACTACACAATTAAATGAATAAATAAAGTCCTTGTATTTTGAGTACATTAATTTGTTAAACTTGAAATCGAACTCTGGATCTTATCACTGTCCTTTAGAATCCAGGGGGCTTAATCTCTAATAGTAATTAAATAAAAATAGACCCCCTTTGCCTTAAAAACCAAAATAGCGAATTTTTTTACCAATATGACATTGAGTACAAGTAATTTAATAGTGTTAATTTCATAACTTTGTTAATACACAGAATCGAACCCAGGACCTCCTCAATGCCTTATAGTATCCAGACTCTCAATTGCTGCACTACAGAAGTCGTCAATGCACCTAACAATTTTATTCTGAAATTTAGTTCTCACTGCACATAGCTTCCAAATATGTTCTTGGCCATTTTCGATTGAATTACCAACAAATTATTTATAAATGAGTGTTTTATTAATTTATTAACACATTTAAATAGGAAAAATAAAGAATGTCTCTTCGTGTTACAAATCAACTAATTACTAACAACACATTTGTATGACGATTTTTTTTCATGGTCAACTTATGTTCTGTCAAATCCTGTTCGTATTCATAATTATGTGTAGTTGGAAGCAGCACATCGCCGGATACCGCGCCGTCATCCAACGGCGACGGGCCAGTATACGGCCAGTGGCCGCCTAGCAAATCACCCACTCAACATCACATTAAGAGCCCAGGTACACAAACTACCAGCATTATTCTGTCAATTGAATACTGATAACCAGTAACATGCTGCCACTTGGTATCATATAAAAAAAACCCACGAAAAATCGGAAATTGAGATATTCATGCCAAATTGTGATTTGTCGACTCATCTACATTTTACAAACATAAACAAAGCGATTTGACACGTTATTACTTATCAGCGTCCAATTATGATAACTATTTTGCCAGTCACGCGAATCTGCTTGCATGCTTATTGATCGAATTGGTTTTCATGCATCTGTCTATAGTCGTACTTGTTATACGTCTGCGGGATTCTTTTGACAACAGAGTATGGCAAAGCAGCCAAATCTCGCCAGACTATAGATACATAGAGAGACTTAGTAGCACTAGAGCCCTTTGTGAAAGAGTTCATCCAGGGAAGTACTACCTCCTTATCTATTTCTGCCGCCAAGCAGTAACGTCAGCATTATTGCGTTCCAATTTAGAAGGGTAAGGGTGCTGGTGAAATTACAGGCACGTAGGACTTGTCAACTTATGTCACAGAGTGACATAAAATCTTTGCGATTTAAAGCTCTGAATGGCACTGCAACTGTTATGGATGGGCGTGTCGCTTACCACAAGGCGTACAACTTGTACGTCCCGTAGCTTGGTATCGTAAGTAAGAAAAGATAAAATGAAAACAAATAACGACATAATGTACATATGACAGTGAAAGGCTACGCGTATGCGTCGCCCGAGTCGCCACTGTCCAAGATGGAGGTGGCTTGGAATGCAACGACGCCCGTCCCGCCGCATCAGCCCCATCAGCCTTTTCACATCCCCCCACCGGAAAGGTAAAATCAATCCGCAAACAGTATAACTATGTTATCTCTCTTTCCATTATGATAGTAGTAAAAATATCGATTATTTCTTTTTCAGACTTCTTCCAATCGGACCTAAACCAAACAAAGAACAATATCCCGTATTCAACGCTTTAGTTGATAGAGTACGAGAAGCGCTCAATTTACCACCTGGTAAGTTCATCAACATTTGTTACGACTTCGCAATATATTCAATACTTATTTTGGGATTGATATGTATTTCTATACATACATTTCTTTAGTGTACTGATAAAAACGGCAAAAAAGAACTTTATTGTTTTACAAAGAAAATTCTTTACGTTTTGTCCCAGTAAGTAGTATTTATTTTAAAGTACTTTTTAGTATTTTTGGAGAACACGAGAAATGAAATTTAGCTTATATGATAAATAAATTCAAAATATAGGCGTTGAATATGTATAGCGGCCTGTTTGTTTATTTTACTTTTAAGCCGATAAGATATTTTGTGCGTCAACCCTGAAGCTCCGGTGAACCATACGACTACTAGTCATCGTTTGTTATCTTTCGCGCTCCGCCCTCTTACTCTGAGTAGCAAATGTGTCAAATCCAATATCATGCCTATTTTTGTTCAGCGAAGAAAAACCATCGCAGATACTTCTACTTTGAGCTTTACCAAGTCCTTAAATTGATATGTATACAGAATGCCAAAAAACAAAAAACTGAATTTTTAGTAATTATTAAATTAAATTATTTTTTTATTAACATTATTTCATTATACTCAGTATAAATGTAGTTGCTAAAAAATATTGCCAGTCACCATAGTACTTGGTACTCGGTGCAACGGGCTGGTATCCGCAACTCGACGACAAGGCGTCTATTTTGCGTGTACCATAGTTTTTTCTTTTCACTCTGTAGACGATTCAACAGACAAGACTGATTCGAGTAAGTCAGAGCAAGAGCCGACTCCTACACCGACTGGTAGACCGCAGGAGTTAAGCAAGAAACTCTCGTCTGAAGGCAGCAGGTACCATTAATCACTTATCGTTAGGTAGCACCTCGTATCACTGGCTTCAACAAAACTTTGACAACGACTAATAAAAAGGGGCTCGAATAAAGTCATTCTTTAATCACATAGTATAGTATTATAGATAGTAGTATAGATGCACTTGATGTTGTACAACTGACCAGTTTATGAAGAATTTCATAACACGGACGTATACGCATCAAACAAAGGACGCCTAAACATTAATATAAGGCAATTTATTGTTTTTATCACTTTATCACACAATAAAAGTACGTTATACACAAATGAACGCTTACACTTTAACGTTAAGTTTGAACGCCGAAGAGGTTGCTACACGTTTTGTATTTTGTAATATTTCATTTACGTACGTTACGATACGGTTATAAAGTGATCGGAATTGAGGGAGTTAATTTACCTCAAGTATGAGCGTTTTCTTAGTATAGATATACCTATTTCGTCTTTAATGCGTCTAAAATTTCTTTTTTTACTGTCTTTTTCTAAACATTCCAAAACATGGGTTGTCTCATGTTTATTTTTTAAATAGCTAACGTATTTACATACGTAAGTACCTATAGAAACACAACTACAATATTATTTTTGAAACAATAATTTGTAGCAAATACTTAATAGGAAATAATAATTTGTCGCCAATGTACTCAAATTTCAATAAATAATACGCTATTCAAATCTAATCAGTTCCTAGAAGTCTCGGGATTTGTAAAAGGGAATGTCCAGATTAGTCTTTAGTTTAGCTAATTTAACTCCTTCAATTCTGATCATTAGTTATTACGTAATATGACAACATATTTACCTAAGGGCGTCAATAATTTCAAAATGAATATAGTAACATAATGGCACTTGGTTAAACATATTCACTGTAGCACGCTTGTGTACGTGGTTTAGGTCTCGCGGTGCATCGCCTCGGCGCTTGGCGCGTCAGGCTGCCCAGCTTGGATCTCCGCCAACACCCGTGCCGTCTGCTGCTGAAGCCAATGCTATATCACGACCACTTAGCACTGGTAATATGGGTTGTTTATTTATTACATAATTAGATATATTCGCACTACACCGCATCGTTGTTACAGTCTTTGTCACTTATACATTCAGTCTTAACCGGTATGGTGCACGGTATAATGTGAGTTACACAAAACAATGTCTACCCATTTGAGCAGTAATACTTCTATAACATAGGTACATGGTAAAATTCATTATCAAATCGTATAATGTTTGTGTAAGTGAGTGTAAAATACAATTGTTCTAATGACTATTTTTCGATGTATATAGAGAGCGGAGATGGCGGCGGGGTTTGGTGGGACGATGCCACGCGGAAGGCACGACGTGCCGCGCACGCTAGCTCGGCGCCTAAACCCGACACGACCATGTGCTATCGATGTAAGAATAGTTATTTTTGATACACGTGCGCAAAGTTAGTCATTATTCACGAGTCTCGAGGTCAAGATTCGAGACAAGTGAAAATGACCAATCCGCACGTGAATCAAACGACGTTTTTTTAAACGTTTTTGTAAAATTACATTGTAAGTAAAATAAAACAGTATATTTTAGTGGCGCGGCGCGCAGCGGTCTCGCGTAATACTCATCTCCGGTCATTGTTAATACTCAATCAGCCATCTTTATGGAAAATATTTTGGTATTTTTAAATGTAACCCGTTGTTTTATAAAACACCTATATAATTTAAACAAATAAGATGTTTGTAAGTAAATATGTTTTAATGACGAATGACTTACGTCACAAAGCACATAAATATTAAATAAATATATAACCTCTTTAATTCTACGTTTAAGACTTGAAGCAATAGTAAATTAAAAAAAATGGAAAAGTAAAAAGCACTAGTGCGAAAAATCCCACTTTCGACACGAGTTGTAGTACGAAAATTACCACGTTTTGAGCAACTGTATTAAAATTTATTTTTTCACTACTCATGCTCTTAAAGTTCGTATTTATGCTGGGTGTCGGCTGCATAAAATAGGATTTTATGCTCTAGTGTATAAAATAGGATTGTATACTCTAGTACATAAAATAGGATTGTATGCTCTAGTGCATAAAATAAAAAAAACCATCACATTAAATATGCCTAATTCTTGTAATTTTACATCCAATTTTAATTCAATAATCGTTTATTTCTAATAACGCTGTTTAATAATAAAATAAATCGAAGTGAAAAGCAGAGTGTATAACTCGTTCATAAAACCCATTTTACCCTCGACTTAAATATCTATTCTATATATTCAGATATACTCGTCTTGAGTCATGTGACGCGTTTTTTTCACTTGTTGTACAGTCTACTATTATTTCTAAGGGTACACAATCGCAGATGGCAATTAGGAGTGTGTACGTACTATGGTTTTGTCTCGGTGCTTGTATTTGTTGTGCTTAGTATCAAAAATTGTCTTAAATTTATCGTTATGCTTGGTAGGCTGTCCAGAATCACGTACAGATCCAGAATCGCGTGTATCTAACACGGACACTGTCAGTGCAATAGAATTGTCGTGACAGAAGAAACGGACTCTAATCAACAATTCAATTATATGGCACCCGTTTCCTGATTTCGTTGAAATGTTTGAAATATTTTCTGGATTTCTTATTCATTATTCTAATTGTTCAACTACTCAATGTCAAAGGTGCGGAATGCGGGTCGGCGGTGGAGCAATACAGCGACGAGGAGCTTGGACTCAGCATAATACTGTTAGCGACGTTCGTGCACAGGGAACCGGCTGCGGCAGCCGGCATGTTACCCTCTCTGCTGCATAATGTCAGCAGGTAAGAAGCCCATTACATTAGTAATTATCACTTGCTTTTTCTGTAATATTATATTAGAGGGTCTTATAATTTTATAGTAAACAACCGTAACCAGATGAATGTGTCACTTACAGAGTGGTGCAGTTAGGAAACTACGCGTGGCAGACAGAGACCAACACCCGTCTTCCCGGGAGTGCTGTCTTCGTGGCGCACCAGTTCCTTAGAACCGTGCTACACCAATTGGCGCCTAATAATGTGTTCTTACAGATGTTTCTACAGCGGACTCCTGGTACGTAATTAGCATTTTAATAAAAACATTTAAAACCGGGTACTCGTTAGCGAGCTGCAACTGTAATGTGACAGATACAGTAACGAGGTTCTAGCGTGTACGCGTAAAACAGTCTTCACCCACTAGAATGAGTACCTGGTTATCTTCGGCTCACTGCAAACCACACGCGTTCCGCTCCGGCAAGTTCGCGAACTACGTAGACACTATGATTTTTGGTAACATAACATGTAACGGTTACCGTTACAGCTCGAGAATGAGTATCTGGTTGAATATTGCAGTTTTTGTATTATAAATATTTTATATTGTATCATTGCTTATTCCTGCACACAAGTGCAACGTTCTTCGTTGTGATTATAGCAATTGCATCTGTGGATATTGCAACTGTTAACAACGTGCTGCTAGATGAGGAGGTCCATATTTCACATCGTTTCCATCTCCTCCAGCTTGTTTATAATAACTCACTTGACTCCACGAAGGCAGGTCGATGGTATTCTCTGGGAGATCTCATCTCTGTTTTAATATTCATCAACAGTTTACCGCAAGCTATTGTTACAAGAAAAAGAGTCAGTTTGGTTTTTTAAACTTATTTTTTTATGTAGAAAAACAGCGGCTGATTTTCTTCAAAAGCATTGCACAGGCGTTCGTCGATTTCAACGAATTATATCCTTGCGGTCCTCTCCAATTAGTTGTGGAACATTTGAACTCGAAAAAAACACTGCCTATAGACGTAAGTACTGAAAGAAAATACTTAAAACACATCATTAGTACAAAATACCATTTTGTTGTTGGTACTTGATACACAATCGTTTGCTGCAAGAATTAATCACGTTTTTGCGTATTCTTATTGTTATAATTATTTTTATTCTATATAATACTTGTATTGTATCATACTTGTATGATTAATAAAAACAAATTAAATTTAAAATCGTACAAGGATATTAATGATAAAGCTTTGCAGACTACACAATGGCCTTGACAGAGTCTAGCTCTTAATTCTATGTAAGAAAGCTGGTGGTATCTTTTTACATGGTTTTTGTTATAATCTGTTATTACGTTATTAGTTATTTATTAGTAATACTTCATTTGACATATGCACCGTCTTGTAATAGCATTCTCTTGATGTGATGGTGATCACTGTTGTAATTAATAGCCGAAAGCCGACTGCACAATGTTTCCACAATAAAAACATTTGAACGAATTGCGTTTTATTAAATTTCCGAGTGTAAAGTGTATGAGAAAATGTATCTTCCTGTAAATTAAAGCACCAGCGTTATGGTTCATGCCTTAAAAACTTTCGCCTTGTAGGGTCTTGTGCCCAGTAGTGGAAAGAAGGATGGTCCTCCTTGTCCTTATACTAACCGCAACATTGAAGATTCACTTTGTGACTTGAGTTGACATCCTTTTATGGGGGAGTGCAATGCACTGGAAATTTGTGCAAGGAAATTTAGTTAGATTTTTGTGTAGAATAGTAATGCTTTATACATATGTGCTTTTTAATGATGCTCACAACCAAGCTCGGTGGGAGATGTTGTAGGTAGGGTAAGTTTATTGCAAAATTTGGTAAGTATTGCTTATGATGTGATTGCTTAAATTGTTATGTATGAAACTAAGGCTGTATGTAGGTTTGAAGATGTATGTATATACCTTTACTAAAGGTATTATGTTATAAGACTTTATTAAAGGTATAGTATAAAACTGTGTCTATGGGGCTGAGTGAGTTGGTTTCTTTGCACAAGCGCGTATTTTGTTTTTGAAAATGGTTGCCACTCACCGTGGTTAGCGTCGGTTGGAGCTCGCCACCCCCTTTAATTGAAAAGGGGCGATAGGGACCGCCGTCAGCACGCTTCAATGTTGCATGTGTGGATAATTTTCGTATGTCTGGTGAGAATTGATACGAAAATTATTTCATATATAATAGTACAAGCACTGTGAAGTGTGTTGACAGTGTGAGAAGTTTTTGCACAAAAAAGCACTTAAAAACCTTAATTTAACCTTACTTTCGTACGTGTTACATTTTAATTGTAATTAAAAATATGGTAAGAGTCATTGACCTACCAAAAGAGTAATTTAATTAGGTTATATGGCTCACTTCACTGGGTGGAGAGGTACTATAAGTAGAAATTGTAAAAGTTAAAAGTTAAAGTTAGCGTTCTTGGTTACAATTGGTAGCCAAACTTCACGTTATATGAAGAAATAGTAAAAATTAAAAAGTCCAGGTTTGTTTTGGCCTACCGGCCAATTGACGAATGTAATTCACCAATTCATACATATGTTATGCTTATAGATATGGACGACGATTGACTAATGATGATGGTGATGATGCATTTATGATAAGTTTTGCATTCATCAACGCAGATCTACAATCTACATGGTGGAGTTTGAGAAATAAAAAATATTACAACTTGTTCTTATAGGATTGACCTAATTATTTCTGACTATGTAAATATTAAATGTTGGGTGTATTTCTGACAAATCTATGTTATTTCTGATAAGTATGTGTGTTTTCTGATAAATTTGTGTAATTTATGACATAATATGTGTGCGATTTATGATAAATGTATTAAATTCTTGATAAAAATGTGTGTGACTTATTCCCCTAGCGTGTAAAAATGTGTTATGGATGATGTAACACTTGATCACTTGATTTATTATTATAATAAGTTATTATTATTATTATTATTTATTTATTTAAACACTTTATTGTACCACAAAGTAACTTACAAATTTTCAGAAACAATTCAAATATTTGTGTACAAAGGCGAGCTTATCCCATAAAGAGATTTCTTCCAACTAACCTTTGAAAATTTATTATTTCTAATTTATTATAATTTATTATTTATTATTTCTAATTTTCTTCTTTCTTCCTTTGACTACTTTTGATAGATTGTAAGTTCAGAATTCACCTATATCTATTGTATTTTGACATTTACGCAGTATTGTTATTGGTTTAACTGTGTCTAGTTTTTTAAGTGTTACTTGAACATTTTGTAGTCCACCAGCTTTCTAACAAAATAGGGTGTCAGTGAAATTGACTCCAAATCTTAAAAAGGCTTATTTTAGACAACAAACAAAACTTAACGTATATCTAACTTATAAATAAGTTTCTTTTTAACCGACTTTAAAAAAGGAGGAGGTTCTCAATTCGTGTGTTTCTTTGTGTGTAACGCGATTTTTCCAACATTTGTGACTCGATTTCAATAATTCTTTTTTATTGGAAAGGGAGTACCTCAGTGGTGGTCACTTTCAAATTTAAGTTCAGAAAATGTCCACCTCTAAGGGTAGCAAATTAGGGGATGAATCCGGTTTATTGACTTTCATCCACTTTGCGTTAACTAATATCAATAATACTTGGCACATAGATGTAATTTCAATGAAAGTAAAACACAGCGAAAACAGATAAGCAAACTTTTAAAGTCGGTTTTTTTTATAAAAAGTTATAACTATATTATTTCTAATAACAAACGCTTTGGGTATAAACTTTTTGAGTTTTGGAATCGACTTCATAGAAACTTTGCATAATTTACATTAGGTTCATTTATTTGGCTTAAATTTCAAGCCAAATAAATGAACCGAATATCTACTTATTATCACTATCAGGTTATCCGTTATGATAAGTGGTTAATCAGTTAGGAAAGGTAACAGGTAAGATAATCGGGTAAGGTTTTTCAGCAAATACCTATAATAGCCGGCAACATGGCGATGTATTTGGAGTGCCTGGCTCCGGAAGCGCTCGGGCCGCTCGGCGCGTGCGCAGCGTTATTGCAGCAAATGGACGCCCTGTTTCGCAGCATTGCTCTGCAACTGCCGCAGCTCGATGACGTTATGCCGTTGCTGAGGGTCGCCACCGCAGTTTTAAAGATACCCCACGCTGCACAACATAAGGTACCATGTTATGTTAGTATATTTCTCTTACCTATTACATTTACTTGCAATTTTATTTTTATTAATACACAATACATAATTCAATTCACAGGTCATTGTCTTGTTACAATGATGTATAAATATATTTTTTATTTGCATTTTTATTCTGAACAAATATTATGAATAAATTAGATTTTGTTGAATTTCAAAATTTGCTAAGTAATTAGTAATTTTTTCAACAATTTTACATAATTAGTACTTTATTGTAAATGAGCATACACATGATTATTTTTGTTTGCAGAGTATCTTGGAACCAATATCCAAGATCATTAGTTATGGCATCCAGAACTTTGTGCTGAAACTGTCCATCATCTCTGAACTGAGTGTGGTTTGCGTGCGAGTCTTCAGTCGGGATCGAGATAAGCTGCTTGTGTGCCGAGTACTTGTCTACGAGCTCGTCCAAGCCCTACGTACCAAAACTACGATACCTGATGACAACCTCTTTATTTTGATACAATTCGTCTTACAAGGTGGGTTAAGACTGACTATTGCTTTCATAGTTTCGCATCCCCAAAACGTTTTTTTGTAATTATTGTATATAATATAATTTATGTATTATATATACATTACTTGTATAATAATTTATATATTTATATATTATTTATAAAAAGTTTTTGTGTTACTGAGTTTCACCTGCAGAAAGATAGTTATTTTCTTACCATACCTATATAAATTAAAGACTTTTTGTGGAAAATGTTACTTATGTGGTATTACCTTTAAACAGACGATATAATTATTGTAATTTTGAATATTTTGTGATTATGGCGATAAAATTAAGCAAAATTGCGAATCCAATACTTGAAAATAACTATTTACTTCATATGTCGAAACATCATGAATGTGAAAACATTGTCTGTTCGCTTTATTTTCATACTCATTATGATTTATAAGCAGTGATCAGAATCGAGGGAGTTAATTCAGCTAAACTAAAGAATAATGCGGACATTCCCTTCTACAAATCCCGGGAATTCTCGGAACTGATTATATTTCAATGTGCGTATTATTTATTGAAATTTGAGTACATTGGCGAAAAATTATTATTTGCTATAAATTATTGTCTCAAACATTGACCTACGTTTCAAAAATAATATTGTAGTTGTGTTTCTATAGGTGCTTACGTATTTAAATACTTTAGCCTTTACTTTATTAAACAAATAAACATGAGACACCCTATATTTTGGCATGTTCAGAAAATAAACCGTAAAAAATAAATTTTATAAGCATTTTAACGAAATATGTATGTCCATACTAAGAAAACCTTCATGCTTTAGGTGAATTAACACCCTTAATTCAGACTACTTTTTATTAGTCAACGTTTAATCCTGTGTAGGTCACGGTTGCACGCTGCTGTTGCCGCCACAGTTGAATACAGGTGACCTGCTGACAGCGGGGCCAAGTGGCGCCGAGGCACGTGACCTTGGCAGTGGCGCTGTAGATTGTATGCGTCCGCATCTGCCTGACATGATCGAGCTTCTGCAAGATCCGCATTTACTCAATAAGATAAAGGTGTGCAACTTAAATTCTGCCTCAATTATAAGTCAGTATGGTCACCACACGACATGTCCGTGTGTGGTAGGCCTTGATCTAGGTACAACCTATTCTCGAAACGCAGTGAAACATTCCATGCATTTAGGAATAAATAATAATAATAATGTCCTCAGGGCTCCGTATCCAAGTCGATAGTAAATCGCAACCTTATTTGCCTGAATGAAGACACTTTGGGCGCAATCGTGAAAGGTGGAATAGCGCAGTATGTAGCCGTTGAACTTGCGCTAGAACTGGCCCGTGGCAAGCAGGGCACTGGACCAGGAGCCAGGAATTTACTTGGATCCGTCACCACTTCAATTCTTGGGTAAGAAGTTTTTGAGGATTTTCTATGGTTTTGCAGTGAAAGTCTTCTAGATACACCGTGTTGGTCTGTTTCGGTGTCACAGTTTAAGGGTATGTGGTTGATGTTTGGTGTGAAGATTGTGCTTATATTGGTGACCGAAAAACTTGATTGTTGTTGGACCAACATCGAGTATAGTACTTCCCTGTATAATCGCCGGCGCAGAAGGAAGGCCACAGGACAAGGTGCAGTTGGTAGCCGTGCATCGAAGAAAGGCCACAGGACGAGGAGCAGTTGATTTTTTTATAAAATATAAGTGCGCATTTGACACGTGATGGAAAGTGACGATGAGCTAGACTATGGGGCATGCACACCTAAGTAATGCCTCAATCTCGCCTTAAAAAGCCCCAGTTATAACGTTCAGGGAACAAGTCTACAGGCGGGAATTCCACTCCATAGCCGTTCGGTATACAAATGTGGAAGCGTAACGCTTCGTGCAAAACTTTGGAATGTCCACAACATAGGGGTGGAACCCAAGACTACGCCTAGTTTTAGTGATGGAAAGGGGAAGGCGGAATTAAATCGTGTAATACGTAACAGTCTTTTTTTATCGTGAGCGAGGCCAAGCCGATGGTGGACTGGCTCCAAAGGCGTTTTGGCGCTGTCTCTAAGAGCTCGGGTCGCTGGCGTCGATATCGGCGTCCCCCCTCCCAGTGTCTCCGACATCCTATCGAAAATGCAACGTGGCTGCCATAGATTTAAGCAATTTGTCTATAGTAGATCATGGTTTTGATTCTTTATAGTTTATTATTATTTAAAAAAGGATATATTTGTTGTAGATAATATTTGTGCTAATTTTGAATAATGTTAAATTCAAAAAAAAAAATCCTAAAATATTGAACAGTGTTGTAACGTTCCGTTACAGCGAATCTACTACCACTTCCCACGAAATGAGCTAGGCTTACGCCGACAAAGTTTTAGTAACCTAAGGGGTGTTGGCCTAGCATACAGGCTACGTGGTCTACGGTAGGTGTACGAGGGGTCTGTAATAGACTGGATTCTCCTCGACTAAGTCGTAAAATGAGGACAGGCAGAAGAGAAACTGTGATGTGATGGTTATCGACGAAAGTTTAGCGTCTACACGGCAGGCGGCGTCAAATGGCATAAAATGTAGTACATTAAGCTTTCAGATTTTTTTACAATTTAAAGTTGCTCTTATTGCAATCAATATCAAGTTGAAACAATATTACGTGGTGATGACATGATTACTGCGGAACTCTGTCATAAACTTTTTCCTTCGTAATATTTACGAATCCCATTGTGTTTACGCGTATTTGATTGAAAATTGAAATATAAAAAGAATTTGCTCCAGTGACTACTTTCTCTCATTACTGAACTACCATGATGATAACTTTTTCATTATTGAACTATCATGATGATAACTTGTTTTAATATAGTATGCTTTTTAACATGGATATACAAAAATTATTCTATTATTTTGCCAACAGAGCTCGTGAAGTTTCTGAGTGTGTAACACGCGTACGTTTGATATCTTGGTTGCTAATGGGTGCGCTGTGCAATTCGCGTGGCGGTCAGCACCCACTGCAGCAGCCCGTGCCGCAAGATGCCACCTGTCATATCACTGATCATATTCAGGTAAGTCTTACATACGTAGGCTTGCAAAACCCTGTTTCATCTGTTGCAATTGGCAATTGATTATAATATATCAGTCAACCTAACTAAACTTGTAACTCAGTTAAGAATGTTAGTTGTTAGGAAAGCGGTTATTGTTAGTTATCACGCGTCATATGTTTTTCCCGGTTTACCCTCTTTTTTGCAGACCATAATGTCGTCGTATGTGGAGCAGACCAAACCGGCGGCGCAGCGCATGAATGCATTGTTCCACGCATTCATCCTGTGCCAGCTGTGGACGTTGTATCTCGAGGAGATGGCCAATAGCACCACTCCAAGCAGCGAACCTCATAACACCACCGTGTGCATCCTTCTCGATTTCTGGTGCAAGCTCGTGCCCAGTATCCTGCAAGTTACTGTGCAATCTAAAGTGGTAAATGCGCATGTTTTTTTAAAGTTATCGTTTAATAACCCTTTTATGAATAGGAGTCTAAACAGATGTCGTATAAGTTGTTAAATCATTTTCGTATCGACATTTAAGTTTGAGTATTCCATCGAGTATCGATGGTAGCCTCTCACCATTCCAGTAGCGCAAAAATCGGACTACGTAGAGCTAGAAAAAATACATAAAATATGTATGTTGCGCACAAAGCAAGTGATAAAGCTATTTTGTATAGGAAAGGTATTTTTTATATCGAATATTTTTTTCCTATTCAATTCTGTTTAGTGTGCAATTCGTAATAACGCCTCCAGTTTTTTACGCTGTTTATGCGTATTGGAACTGTAATAAAATCTACTGATTTTCATTGATAAATTTGGCTTTGTTTATAATTAACGGTTCTGTTCGTAGCTGGCGGAGACAGTGAACCTACACTTTCTGAGCCTGCTCGAGTCCCTGCTGGAGTGTAACTCTACTGTCCTCAACAAGCTGCTACCACTCTGGACACCTATACTTCACTCCCCTTTGTTTAGTGTAAGTATTTTTGCATAATTTTATATGGACAATCCTATGTATTTCAATCCGCTCCAACTGTCGCGATGGCATCGACGACTAGTTTAATACATTCGCGTGAGCTGTGGCTGATATTTTTCCCTAACTTTAATGTAAACGCTTATAAACGTTTCGTCTACAGGCAAATAAATGAATGTAAGAAATAATGATGCTGACGTCAATAAACTTTCACGTCTATGAACTGTTCTCGGATGTTGCGCGTGTATACCAGCGATCGTTCGTATGTGTGAGTAGTGCTTACTTATTCGGTGAAATTTCGATACTACGTGGCGTTAGAGATTGAATACTCTATAGCGTACTCTTACGTTCTTCGATGAATTGAAAGAAATTAAACGACGTGATAGTACGTTGTTTTACATCAGTTACAATGTGCGCATGCGCACAACGTGCGAATATGTTAAATGTCTATTTGTGCCACTGAGACAATTAGACGACTTCTAATCCATCGAACTCAGTTCTCAATTCGTTGCACTCAGTGCTGGGGTTGTTTTCAGATGCCGAGACACGTGTCTCAGCGTCTGGACGCTTGTCGCGAGGTGATGCCGGAGCCGGTGCGCGCGTATCCCGGTGCTGGCGCGTCTGTCGGCAACGGCGTCGCCGCGGGCGTCGATAGCACCGGCAAGGCCTCTCGTGCGCATCGCCGCCTGCACCGGCTGCTCGCCAAAATGGCACAACTTGAATTGCAACCTCAGTGCTTTTACTTCATATAAAAGCACAAATATCCGCCTCGAATACCATACCAAGAAGCAATATTCTACTTCAGTGATATCTATATAAATAGTTTAGTGATATTATTCGAATATTTATTTACTTTATTTTGCATTTGCAATGTTGTGTTAAGTGTTTTTAATTTAACAATTTGTATGTTTTAGGATAGTTAGAATGATTAGACAACTTGTACAACATTAATTATGATTTATTTTACTAAGCTCCGTTACGAAAAATAGTAATTTATTTGTTATATAATCTTTTATCGAATGTTGCAATATAAAATTTTACATAAAACGTCTTATTAATTGGTCGATTGAATGTTATTATTAAATTATTGTAAATCAAATACACTTTCTTCAGTTCAATCAAAGCTCTGTAAAACTCCACTAATATAAGTAATGAGTCAGCGTTTACAGCTTTAAAGGAATCATTTACCACTATTGCGCCTAAGAAACTAGATCATACTTAGTGTTGGGTCATGGAAAAATTTCCATTTTGAAATTATCATATTTTTCAGAAAAATAAATGTTTTTCGGAATTTTTTCCAATATTTTTCCTTTAATTTTCCACATTTGACGTTAACACCTGTCAAAAGTTAAGTTACTGAACGAAAACGTAGAAGCCAACAAGGGGTGGTGATGTGGTGTTGGAGATTTTTTTCGCTCTCGTGAAACCATTTTAAATCTCGTTTTTCTTTGTGACTTTTACCTTTACAACTTTATTTTATAATTCACGCTAAATAAACTTCAAAAGATTTTATAGCCTTGGAAATTATGTTTTTCCAACTTTTCAAAATTTTCCAATTATTCAGGCTTTTTTCGGAAAAATTCCCGCCCTTTCAACATTTTTCGGATAATTACCCAACAGTAATCATAATTCGACGATAGATCATCTCCCTATTGTCTGTGTTAAGCTGTTCATAATAAATGTAATTTAATTGCTCCTTTATTCTATCCACGCCACTGTCCGTTTCATTTTAATTCCGTTTTAATTCGTTTACAACCTCGAAGTTGGTGATTAGTTTGTTAAGTCTATGAAAAGTGTTCGTTGCTGTTGCCGCCACCGTCGAATACAGGTGACCTACTGAAAGGTGGGCCGAGTTGCGCCAAAACGCGTCACCTTAGCAGTGGCGCTATAGACTGTATAAAATGCGTTCGCACCTGCCTGACATAATGAAGCTTCTGTACGATCCCTATCTACTCAATAAGGTAAAAGTGTGCAACTCAAGTTCTGCTATAAGTCAGTCACCACGCACACGTTCATGTGTAACAGCGCAGTGAAACATTTCAAGAATCTGGGAATAAATAATATGAATAATAATATTTCAAATTCAAATTATTTATTTCAGACCATGTCCATAGATGTTAGTTACAAATATACTTATATCCTATGTTAGTAATGAAAATTTAACATACAATTGTATCACATCCACGAAAAGCAATGAAATAAATTAAGTCAAATTATCAATCACATCAAACTTTGGGGAATTTATCGCTTCCCTAACGAACAATAAAATGGCCTCGTGAACTTCATGAATTATAATATTTCGTAGTTTTACAAATAACTTTTATCAAACCGGGCAAACAATTTGCCAACGCTGACATGACAATTCACGTAATTAAAAAACTATCGAATATTTTGGCAAGTGTGAGAGTGTCACTTGGTGTTTGTGTGTTTGGCGACACTCGTCCAAAGAGACTGCCACAGCCAGCCCGTGATAATAGGCGGCGTCTAAAGCCGCCACACAACTATACATTAAATTGAAACATTTACATTATATTATAAATCGGGCCTCTGGAACCCACTTGAACTTGATTCCAGTGCTTACACGTGTCGCAATCAGGGTACTCCCAAATCGACCGTACGAGGCTGTTGGAACTGTCACGTACGCGACGCATCATGGAGGCAGTCCTCTTGCGTTTTATCGCACTAAAGTTGTCAATCTGCGCGAACATGCTTGATGCGCTACAAAAGCGTGGCAGTCCCAACAACATCCTAAATCCATTGTTATATTGAACACGCAGAGCATTGACCGCCTTTTTAGTGTAGCTTGTCCACAGACTGCACGTGTAAAAGGTCTGATAAAACGCCTTGAAAAGGGTAGCTTTAACATTATCATCACAACGCGCAACCTGCGGGACAACATATTACAACGTACGGCCAATGCCCTGCGCTCTCTCTCTATATCCACATTATCATAGAGGTTCTCGGAGACCCAGTGACCAAGGTAATTAAATCGTGTCAGTCGTTTGAGAGGAATTCCACATAGTTGCACAGTTGAGATTGATATGAGGGCTTCGTTACCAGCATTAAATACTAACAACTCAATTTTATTAGTATTGTACCTGAAGCCATGTGTCACCGCGTAATCCTCACAAATTTTTAACAGTCTGACGAGCGCAATAATGTCCATAGGTCTCCGTATCCAAGTCGATAGTAAACCGCAATCTAATTTGTCCGAATGATGACATGTTGGGCGCAATCGTGAAAGGTGGAATGTATAGCCGTCGACCGAAGCTGTTGATCTGGAAGCAGGGCACTGGATAAAATGCCGGGAATCTACTCTAATCTGGCACCACTTCCATTCTTGGGTGAGAACTTTCAGAGTATTTACGTTCAGTACACAAAGCATTGACAAAACTTACAATTTAAAGTGGCTCATTTTGCGTACTACATTAAGTTGAAACAATGTCATGTGTTTGGAAGTGAAACTACGTCGGCTCTCAATTACGTACATATTTCGTTATTTCAAACGAACCAACGTTTCATATCCAATGTGTAACACCTGCCTAAAAACTAGGTACGGATCCTGTCTATATTATTTTTTCAAATCTGACTCTGGCCCTTAGAGGATGAAAAAAAAAATAGTGTAAGGAGCTGCCCTGACTACGGAATGAACTTGCGTACCTTAGACTATGGAAACCTTAGAGGATGGAAAAAAAAATAAAAGAAAGGAGCTGCCCTAACTACAGAATCAACGTGCATATAACCAAAATTTGAAAGTTACAAATGGCGGATTTCTTTAGTGTTGTACCATAATCTATCGATAAGTCATTATCGACATGCTTGGCTTAAATGTTGAAACTGTTTTTTTTTGTTTCTTTTGTTTACTATAACCAAAGTATGCCTAAACAAACACAAGTCTAATAATTTAATCTCGAGTGGTATATTATTATAAATGTCAACACACATTTTTAAACTTTAAAAAAAAAATATTTTCAATATTACAACTGATAACTTATTTAGTAAAAGTAACCAAATTACTGTGCAGTTTGTTGGCTGCATGCGCATTCTTACTTAATTATACCTACTTTACTGGTATATAACATTACATAGTATTAATTGTACTTACTAAATCAAATATAAAAATTACTTTAAGAGGTACGCCTTTAACCTACATTTTAGTACATATTTACATATCGTCTTTTAACTAACTGTCAAGTACAAGTCTATTCAGGTGTCTGCGGATTCTTTCTTAAACAAATCAATCTATAAAGCAATTTTAATTGTTAACTTACTTAGTAATAGTCACCAAACTGTTGTGCAGTTTGTTGGCGACATGCGCACTCTTACTTTTTTTTAACGCACACACTCAACATTGCCCTAACTATACCTACTTTACTGGTATATAACATTACATGGTATTAATTGTACTTACTAAATAAAATATAAAAATTACTTTAATTACTTTACTTTAACGATGGCAAGGCAAGGCAAATAGGCTGTCTATACGTTGGTATTGGCCTTTACCTGGCAACGTTGGACTAACATGTCAGTGTATTGCAGGCTTTAAAAAAAATAGTCATTTTTAGTAGTTAGAGTTGTCATTTGGGAAAAATCAGAATCGACTGGATAATTTTGTTTTCAGGAAATGAGAATAACTAGTAAATGAGTCTTGTTTAATCTAAATTGAGCATAAAATTATTTACCAATAAACGTAATGATGGAATAGCATTGTAATGTAATCTAGTTACATTCAGAGTTCTGTTAAAATTTGACTCTTCAAAATTAAGCGAACAAATGAAGATGGTCTTTGATCCAATGTTTATATTCGGTAGTCCTATGATTTCCAACCATTCTTTCCTCCTTTTTTCATTTGTAGGAAAACTTGAAATAATAAAAATAATAATAATAAAACAATAAAAACCTCGTAGTGAATTGTTTGAATAACAGAATATCGATAATATGTATGTTTACAAGATCAACACTATCTCAAAATAATCGTTAACAACAATCATCAAAATATACAAACAAACAGGCAATCTAAAGTAACAAAAGTAAAATTTGGCAATATTTATAAATAAACTACTTAAATAAGTCTAATTACATGAAATATTTGGGCTATTGTGTGATTTATAGACAAAAAAAAACACATGCCTGTACAATGCTACATTTGGTCGATCTTCGCTTATTCAAATACCACATCCCGTAATGCTGCAGCGACGAATTTTTATTAATACTTAATTGTTCTCACTGTCAATATTTTTGTCCATTTTATTACAATACATGCGAATAATTCAATAAAACACTTGGAAAAACATTTGTTTTGACATTTGATGTACTTCCCTTTGACAACCGTATCATGTACCTCATGTACCGCGAAATGGACACGGTTGGTATTTAAGATGACGTTACGTATTTTCGATTCCCGTGTTTCACACAGACCAATGTAATGCTATCTCTTTTGGCTTAAGACGGCACGCAATAGTTAAACAAAGACAATAACATGTTTATGTTTTCAACGTCAAAATGCATCATATACATGTAACGTCTGATTTACAAATGTCAACATAACATGTCCTTTAGTTTCCAAAGTCTAAGGTTTCCATAGTCTAAGGTGTAAGCACTGACCCAATTATTTGACTTGTTTTTTGTCGAATGACGTTACTGTAGTTAATAAACATTTCCGATGGCGAAATCAGCGCGCAAAACGACGGAGCCATAGATAGATAGATACAAAAGTTGAAGTTGATTATAATAATTATATATCATATAAGTTAAGAATCTTAATTGTCAGGAAAGCATTTATTGTTAGTTATTGCGCGTCATGTTTTTCCAGGTCTACTCTCTATTTTTTTTACAGACTATGGATGTCTTATGTGGAGCATGACTTCTGTATCAACTGTGGACGCTGTATCTGGTGCATCATTCTCGACTTCTGGTACTAGCACGTGCACATCCTGCAAGTTATTGGGCAATCTAAAGTCTAATAAGTTAATAATTCCTTTTTTACAAGTAGTCCAAACATATCGTACACATTTTAAAGCTATCCAGTTTTCATCTTAAGTTTTAAGTTTTACCCGTAATTTTGGTAGCCTCTCATTCCACAACTCGCAAGAAGTCGCTTACACAGAGGCACATAGCTAGATTTAGAAAAATTTTTGTATTTTATTTTATTTATTAGGTTCATCAACAGTAGTTACATCAAATAACATGTTCAATTTGTTGTAATATTTT